ACTTGTGTTAAGTGCCTACCGTGTGCTGGGTCCTGCAGTAGGCACTGTGGTATATAACCTCCCTGAATTCTCTCCAGAGCCCTGGAAGTCAGTAGGTAGTGGGTGAAAACACAGGGACTGGCATCTCACAGTGGAATTCTGATCCTGGCTCTGCTAAGTACTGACTGTAGGACCTCAGACCCAGGGGCCGAGTCTCTCTTAGCCTCAGTCCCCACAGTGGTACAATGGAGTGCTGACACCCCCCTTGGAGGGGTGTCATGAGCATCCAGTGGCATCCGGAGATCCTTAGGTGGGGGACACCCAACGTCCAGTTGCATTCTATACAGCGCAGCAACTATGTTAATGCCGAACTTAGTTTTCTGGCCCCCTAGTTCCTAGAGGAGGAAATTGAAGCTCAGGGAGGGTAAGTAACTTGCCTGAGGCCACCGATTTTAGCAGTGGTGAAAAGTCCAATCTCCAGACTTCGGGGCCAAGTATCCTTTTCTCTGTGCCACAGGGGGTCTAAGGATGCAAAAAAAAAAAAAAAAAAGTCTGAAAGATCAAGTCTTTTAAAGTTTCATTTCTTGGGTAAAGACAAGGTTTTTAAAATTTTTTTTTAATGTTTATTTATTTTTGAGAGAGAGAAAGAAACAGAGTGTGAGCCGGGGAAGGGCCGAGACAGAGGAAGACACAGAATCCAAAGCAGGCTCCAGGCTCTGAGCCGTCAGCACAGAGCCCGACGTGGGGCTTAAACCCACAAACTGTGGATCATGACCACAAACATGTGGATCGAACGCTTAACTGACTGAGCCACCCAGGGACCCCAGACAAGGTTTTATAAAAGATCTGTGCAATGGTTGCTCCCTCAGGCCTCAGCCGTGGTAATCACCTCCATCTTTCTGAGTGAAAAGGGAGCAACATTTTGTCCTTCCTGCTGGTGTTCTGGCCCCTCCCATCCTGGGGCACCGAGTGACATTTCTCTCTGTGCTGTACTTTCCCAGCTGCTGCAGATGTTTTATCGGCAACAGGAGGAGATCCGGAGGCTCCGGGAGCTGGTGACCCAGCGCGAGGTCCAGGCCAAACAGTTGGAACTGGAGATCAAAAACTTGCGGATGGGCTCGGAGAGGTTCTGAGCGGAGATGTCTGCCCTCCTCGCCCTCAGGGACACCACTCGGCTCCATGGGGAGGTCCAGAACCAAACCACAAGTCCCCCAACAACAACCACTATTTCTATATTTTTTACCAGAAAATGAAACTCTCGGTCGCTGGAAGATTCTAGTGGGAGGGACGTGGTGCCGTTTTTCTATTTGCCTTCTCAAAACAACACTGTCTGAATCGACTCTTTGTAGACGATATCTTGCCTTCTGGTTAATTCTGTTTTTAAGGGTCCACGATGAGCTGTAACTTCTCAAGGGAAAGAACATTGTGCAAAGTTAGAGCTGGAAGGCCCTAGGAGATTTTCAAACTGGGGTCCATAGAACGAGAGGAAGGCTAGGCAGGAGGGCTGTGCTCCCCCCCACCCCGTTCCAACCACACAGCTCCCCTTCTCTCTGATTTATATATTGGCTTCTATGGAATACATAATTCTGCTTCTGAAAAAACATTTAGAAGTTTGAAAAACTGTGATCTGGCCCAACTTCCTCATTTTACAGGTGGGGAAACTGAGGCCCAGAGAGAGGCAAGTGATCAGCGTCTGCAGAGGGTTCATGGCAGGGCTGGGTCAAGCTTCTGGTCTGTTGGGTGGGTCTTTCTGCTGCTTCTAGTCTGAAGCAGCCCTCAGCCCACAGGGCAGAAATCCATCTGTTCTGGCCTCTTCTGTGCCCCTGACTCGCTCTGTACCTCTTTCAAGCTACTCCCTCTCTGGTCTCAATTTCTCCATCTGAACTAGGGGACCCTGGCATGTGCTGCCCTCTACAGGATCTGCCTCCTGAGACAAGAAACCTTGGTCTTGACCTGAGGAAAACTACCTATATAAGGTGATGATCTGGGTCTGCTATAGGAACTCACAAGACCTTGGTGAAAGGGCAGAGGGAGTTTAACCTCTGGGAAATAAGTCAAGGTTTGGCCCAGTTCTAGAACACGGATAGGAGACCAAAACCGTCCTCTCTTGAACCAGAATCAGCCAAATGTGGGCAGACGCTATCCCTCGTGTGGGGAAGCAGACATCAGGGTGGTGCCTATGACCACTGACTGCCACCACCAAAGCCCTCAGGTCCCAGAGCCTGCCTGCTCCAGGAGGGTACAGGCAGGCTTCAGTCCAAGAGGTAGGAAGCCCCAACACTTGGCAGGATGCCAGCAGAGTCTCTGGCCACCCACTCATGCGGGCTTCTGGAGAGGGATGACTGCATTAGGCAAGGAAGTAGGGCCAAATGGCCTTGAAGTCCCCTGCCAGCCTGAGAGTTTTTATGTGTCCCTCCTTTGTGAACCTGTGTTCTGAGCCTGTTCTCTAAGGTTCTTTCTCGGTGGTCAGTACAGCAGCCCAGCTAGAGATGGGGAACGTTGGAAGTCAAATGCCACCCCCCCCCCCAACCTTACCGAGCAGGTGCAGATGATGGGTTTTGCCCACTGGACAAGGTGATCGTGGAGCTAAGATGGGGACTGCAGGAGCCCACCTGGCCTGGTAGGTTTCAACCCACGCTGTACATTAGGGTCCTCTTGAGAGTGTTCGAGAAATACAGATGCCCCGTCCCAGCCCTAGACCAGCTGAAGCTGAATCTCCAGAGCAGGACCTGGCTTTGTGTATGTTTTTAGAAGTTCCCAGGTGATTCTGCAATACTCTGAGGCTGGAGACCCACTGCGTTAGCCCATCTGTACCTATGTGTGGTACAGAGGGGGACAAGGAGCACCAGATAGGCTCCGGGACTCCAACCCCACCCTCTAAGTCCGGGTTGGAAGCATCATCCCACATCTCTCTGGGCCCCCCAGCTGCAACTCGATGAGGTTTCTGTGCCCGAGTGCCCCCTCCCCTAGCCATGGCTTGGTCCCCTTGCCCGACTGCACGCCCCAGATGCCCACGTTCCCTATCTTGTTTACTCGGTCACTGGGGCTCGCCGAAGGCCAAATCCCAGGCACTGCCAGGGAAGCAGAGCTCCACTGGATGGGGTTGCCTCTCCCACCTCATTTGTGGCCAGCACTTCACAGTTTACAAAGCCCTCCCACCTCCACTCACTGGCACATCTAACTCTAATTCTAACATGGGCCAGAATAATTCCCGTGGTCAGAATAATGATACTCTCCCCATGTCCTTGTCAGAGAATGAAGAAGCATCGTGCCCACAGGCACTGGCTGCAAAGAGCTGGAGGTGGGGCTGAGCCCGGGGAGGGACCCGAATGCCTCCTCTGCACATAACCTTCTCGAGCTCTCCCTACCCCTCAGGGACCCAGACCTCATGCTTAAAAACAATATGAAGGCATCCATGAACAAAACTGTTTTTGGGTTGTTTTGTTTTGTTTTGTTTTTACAACTAGGATTATTTAAATGAATTTAAGTGATTTCACAGCAAGGGAGAGGGATAAGTAATTTTTATCAAATATTTTTTTAAGCCATTTTTTTAAAATTGTGTTTTTGTTTATATTCTTGACTGATGAAGTAGAACTTGCCCAGCATCTGCAGGGTCGGGCCCTCACACTCAGGGCAAGTAGAATGTGCACTCATTTCTTTACTCCATACTCTGGGAGCCCCCTGTTGACTCAGGAACTTTCTGAGAACGAAGACAGCACTGGGAGATGAGCATTGAGGGCTACCCACCTTAGCTCTATGATAATTATTCTTCCTGATTGTATCATAGAGGGAAGAAGGAAGTCAAAAATAGATCTATGCTTTTAATATGAACCCGTGCCTGAAATAGTTTGATTGTTTTAATGTTGTTTCTGAAACTCCTTTTACCTTTGTAAAAAAAATTAAGAAATAAAAGCAAAAATAGATATGAAATCGTGCAATGGCAAGAATGTAACAAAATAATAAACAACATCTGCCTAAATATTTTAATACATGGAGCTTTCCTTTTCTTGATTGGTTCCACAAATACCAATTAAGTATCTCCTTGTTTGGGCCAGAGACCAGGCTGGGAAACAGATACAACAGGAAACGGACTTGGTCCCTGCCCTCTGAAGTTTTCAGTCATGGTTGGAGGAAAGGGAGGGCCAGGATAGGGAAAGTGTGGGCTGCTCTGGGAGGAGAAGCAAGGAAGGCTTCCTGGGGGAGGTGATATTTCGGCAGACCCCTGAAAGATAAATAGAAGCAAGCAGGGCAAAAGGTATTTGGGAAAGAGAGATCCCAAACAGAAAACTGCCTATTCCCTGGTCTGAAAACAAGTGAAGGGTGGAGTACAGACAGGGCAGGGATCAAGGGTATTAAGAGCCAAGGATAGGAAATGAGAATTTTTTTCCAATTTTATTGAGATATTCCAATTTTATTGACAAGTTGTATATATTTAGGTTGCATGTGATTTTTTAAGGTGTACAAGCGTGATGATTTAATATATGTATACCTTATGAAATGATAACCACATTCAAGTTAATTAACACATGTTATATCACATAGTTACCATTTTTTGTGTGTGGTGAGAACAGGAGATCTACTCTCAACAAATTTCAAGTACACAGTACAGTATTACTAACTATAGTCACCATGCTATACATTAGATCCCCAGAACATAAGCATCTTATTTTTTTTAATGTTTATTTTTGACAGAGAGACAGAGCATGAGCAGGGGAGGGGCAGAGAGAGAGGGAGACACAGAATCTGAAACAGGCTCCAGGCTCTGAGCTGTCAGCACAGAGCCCCACGCGGGTCTTGAACTCAGGGACAGTGAGGTCATGACCTGAGCCAAAGTATGACACTCAACCGACTGAGCCACCCAGGCGCCCCAAACTTAGGCATCTTATAACTAAAAGTTTGTACCCTTCCCCCCCCCCCCAACCCCTGGCAACCGCCTTTCTGCTCTGTTTTTAGGAGTTCAGCTGTTTGTTTTTGGTTTTTTTAGATTCCACATAAGCGAAACCAAATAGTATTTGTTTTTCTGTCTGGCTTATTTCACTTAGCATAATGTCCTCCAAGCCCACCCATGTGGCAACTGGCAGGATTTCCTTTTTTTGGGTCTGAATAACATTTCACTGTATATACACACAGCACATCGTTATCCATTCATTCATGGAAGGACATTGGTTATTTCCACGTCTCGGTTATGGTGAATAATTTTGCAAGGTGCCCGCCAGTGCAGGTATCTCTTTCAGTTACTGACTTCATAATCTTTCGGTATATGTACCCAAAAGGGAGATTGCTGGATCATACGGTAGTTCCATTTTTAATTTTTTGAGCAACCTCCATACTGTTTTCCATGATGGCTGTACGAATTTACACGGGTGGACTGGGAGACAGCCTGGGGGCAACGGGAGTTTCCAGAGTGATTCTGCCAGTTGTGGGAATGGTGATTTCTCCTGGGGAAAGGGCAGAGACAATCAAGGGAAAGTGAAAAGTGTCCGTAACGCACATCACCTGGGGAGGCCTCCGCCAACTTTGGCCCCACCCACAGGGCTGCAGTTTTCTGAGCATGACTGGACTCGCATCACTGAGCCGGGAAGCCCACCTCCTTTCAGTCAGCCCACGAGGAGCGAACCCCATTTCGGCGGCGGCCCCCTCAGCGCCACTGAAGCTGCCGGAACAGGCGCAGCGGGGGAGGGCACCCCGCGGGGCCGCAGGGCACTGATGGCCGCCGCTACCCGGCGGGAGGCGCGCCCGCCTCCCTTCCTCCCGGAGCTGGGCCGCCCCGCCCCGCCCCACCGCTCAGGGTTTCGATTCTCCGCTGGAGCCCCTCCCCGACACCGCGGCCCGAACCCGAGGGCTAAATGGCGGACGCAGGGGCGCAAAGCGGGACACCGGGGGGGCCGGGCCCCGCGAAGCTCGAGGACACGAGCGGCTGGCGCTGCCCGGAGCATAGCGACCGCGTGGTCGAGCTCTTCTGTCGCCGCTGCCGCCGCTGCGTGTGCGCACTCTGCCCGGTGCTGGGCGCGCACCGCGGCCACCCGGTGGGCCTGGCGCTGGACGAGGCGGCGCACGTGCAGGTGGGAACGCGGGCGGCGCGCGGAGGCGGGTGCCCGCAACGGACTCGGTGGGGCGTGTCGGGTGGGCCGGCCGTTTCTTTCGGTTTGGTTTGCAACCGAAGGGCGGCCCAGAGGACCTGTAGGCGGCCCACCTGCTGTCGCCAAGGATCAGTTAAGCTTCAGAAGAGGTGGGTTTCGGGAGTGAAAACTTAGGCGCCCCGACTGATCCGCAGATGTCCTTGACCTCGTCCACCACGGTGGGTCCACCACACCGCCCTTGGCCTGAAAGAAAGTCTGCCTTTAGAGAAAGTTGAAAAGCCACACAGGCATCTCTGGTTTTCTCTCCTGGAGTTCACCGACAGGGGCTGAGGACTGCCTGACTGCCTGCCCTGGGAGCGGCCTCCAGCCACCGACTCCGCCCTTCTCCTCCACGCACGTGCCCATTCCACGCATTTAACAGCCAGGTGGGGAGCTATGACAGCCATTTTATTGATAAGAAAAGAAAGGCTCTGGAAGCCGAGGCTGGCTTTGAACCCAGCACTCCACAGCTGGATTGCCTCCACTGGCCCATTCCCACCTTGGAGCCCTCACCTGTGCATAATCCTAATAGTGGTCAGGGGCTCCCGACTCTTGTTCCGGCCTTAGGGCCAACTTGTTCTGTGACCCTGGTCAAATCCTCTGCCTCCCTGAGATAGGCAGGCCCGCCCGTTTCTGGCGGATGTTGATTCTACCACTTCCTCTTGCCAGCAGTTTTTGGTGATTAATGACCTTTTTCCTCACATTGTGACAACCTTGGAGCTCCAAGGTGAGAATGGGGGGGGGGGGGCGGGGAGTCTGGGGTTTGAGGCCTTTCTTATCTGTAAAATAACTGTAATAATAATAGCTCCTCAGAAGGCTGTTTCCAGAATTAACATGGCTGCTTCCAGAGATAGGGCTTGGGCGTCTCATAGGCAGGTCCACCCACCTACCTACCAACATACTCATTTTGTGTTCACACACCTACCCACTCACCTGTTTATCCATCATCCTTCCATCCATTCATCAGACATTCATTCGGCACACACCTTGTGCCACGAGTTAAGGAACAGATCAATTCTTCCCTGATCAGGAATTTCCTGGCTGGTGAGGTGAGAACAAATAGTGACAATACGGTGTGATAAGTATCGTAATTGGGGAGCCAGAGAGAAGACAGTATGAACTAGGAGCAGGGAGTGCAGGAAGACTTCCCAGAGGAGTGCCATTGGAACTGTCCTTGAAGGATGAGTAGGATTCCACCAGGTAGCATGACAGGTGCAGCACCATGTGACTGGGAGGCCCAGGCACCAGGAGGCTGGGTTATCTTTGGGTGACAGCAGCTAGACTTGATGGCTTAGAAATCACAGTGGGGTAGAAAATGTGCTCCCCGAATTTGAGGCTGTGGCTTCTACCTGGGTTACCATTGTGTCCTCACCCCCAGCCACGACCTAGAATACAACTGCACACAGTAGCAGATGCTTGTTGGGTGTTACAATAACAGTAAGAACTATACCTGTTGAGTACTTACTGCCTGCCAAACACTGCACCAAGCACTTCGTATACTTTTCACTCTCTACAGCAACGCGATGCGGTTATCCCCATGTTTATGGCTAAAGAAACAGGTTTAGAGATGTGAGGTCACTTGTCCAGGTCACATGAAAGGAGGGCCAGGAATCAGACCTAGGAAGCCGCCTGTCCCTCTGGGGCTTATGCTCATAACAGCTTGCTGGGTGGCTCCAGCTCTCCACTTGAAGCTGGCAGCCCTTGGTCATTGTGTTTGATTCAGCAAACACTTCTGGGTCACCCCGTGATCCCCATGGCAGAGCTGGGAATGGAGCAAGCCTGCCCTCAGGGAGCTCCCAGTTGACGGGGCAGCCAGACCTGGGGCCAGCAGCTGTGTGTAAGGCCAGCTGTAAGAAGATCCGGATAGAGGCAAGCTCAAACCTGTGGGGAAGAGGCTCACAGAGCAGGCCTTTGGGAAAATGGCAATTGCAAAACAAGGAACTCTGGAAGGGAGCCATTTCAGGTGGGAGGGAGAAGGGAGCATGAACCCCCACAGACCTCACCCATGCAGGTCTTCTGAACCCCAGTTCAAGCCAAAGGGCCACAGGCTCCCTGGCATGTAATAGGTGCTTAGTTAATACTGACTCCATAAGTGAAATGCTCTTCTCCTGTCCCCAAGCTGCTTGCCTTAAGGTCCTATTTGAAAGGGTGAAAAACCAGGCCATAAGCAGGAATTGTTCTAGGAAAAAGGGAGGGGGGATCAAGGTTGGAAGAATATCTGATGTGGGATTCTGAGGATCAGAGGGACCCTCATTCCGGCTCATCCTCCAATTTGCCACGTGACTCTGGGCCAGTCACCTCACCTCTGAGTCTCAGATACCTCAGCTGAAACAAAACAAAAACAAAATACAGGGGGAGGAGATGACCCCTGGGGTGGCTTGTTATCTCAAAAGTCACAGTATTAAGTATTAATTTTTCCTAGCTCTTTCACATACAGAAACGCATCCAAGAATGTTTAAAGCAGTTGGAAGCCAAGAAGCAGCAGCAAGTTGGCAACATAACCCAGATAGAAGAAGCTGCTGAGAAGCTCAAGGCAAGTGGACATTTCTTCCTTGTTCTAGTTGAGATGTTCACACTTCCCCTGGTACACAAGGCTCTCCTCAATATGGAGCCAAGGGAAGATCAAAACTAACCTCAAAGGGGCAGAGCAGGTTTGATGGGGCTTGGGACTTCTATAATGTAGGGGACTCTTTTTAAGGAAAATGACACAAGGGGCGCCTGGATGGCTCAGTCAGTTAGGCATCCGACTCTTGGTTTCAGCTCAGGTCATGATATCACGGTTTCGTGGGTTCAAGCCCCACGTTGGGCTCTGCGCTGATGGCGAGGGGCCTGCTTGGGATTCTCTGTCTCCCTCTTTGCCCCTCCCCCACTCACACTGCCTCTGTCTCTCTCAAAAATAAATAAACTTAAAAAAAAAGAAAGAAAAATGACACAAAATCAGGTGCAAGACCATGAAGGGCCCTGGCTAATGAGGAACCTTAAGCTTCTGTTATGTTAGCTTTGTGTGAATCCACTTCTGCCCAGCACCTTAGCCTTGCCCCGTGGCAGCTCACAAAATGGAGGAACAGCCTTTCCTTCTGGCAACCGCCAAGGCCATTCTCTTAGAGGGACCATCCCCTGCACCCCAAATCACCTTAAACAAAGCAAAATGCAGCATAAGGAGCATGCAAACAGCTCTTTGGGCTTTACTGCTTTGTTGAAAGAAAGAAAATAGGGTATCAATGTATTCAATAAATAAATACTTTCTTCAGTCTTCTCCTTTTTTTTTTTTTTCAACGTTTTTTATTTATTTTTGGGACAGAGAGAGACAGAGCATGAACGGGGGAGGGGCAGAGAGAGAGGGAGACACAGAATCGGAAACAGGCTCCAGGCTCCAAGCCATCAGCCCAGAGCCTGACGCGGGGCTGCAACTCACAGACCGCGAGATCGTGACCTGGCTGAAGTCCGATGCTTAACCGACTGTGCCACCCAGGCGCCCCCAGGCTTCTCCTTTCATAGCAGTGTTTATTTACATGGATTCTTTTGTGGGCTTGAAATGGGAAGTTGGGGCTGACGTTATTGGGAGTTGCCATCTGACTAAAAAAGTTGCTGGGTCTTCTGGTCCTTTTATGTGAACTGAACTGGTCCCTTCCCCTTTCACCCTCAGCTGGCCCCTCCTGGAAATGAGGGCTAGGGTGGGATGCCTGCCCAGGGTCTCTGCCCCTGAGGGCTCTGTAAACCCTGGACTGACCCCTCACAAGTCAGGCAGAGAGACTGGCTCCGACCAAGGGAGTAGCTGGCACCCAGGACTTTCTGGGCCAGGCCCACAGCAGAGTGGAGAGGCCAAGACCCAGGCCAGGCCACAGAATTGACCTCCTGTTGGCCCAGCATCCACTGTCTGTGACTGCATGCCCGAGTGTGCTGGGGACAGTTGTGGTTTATACCTGTGGCCCCAGCTTCATTATTAATAGTGATGCTCATGTCTTCAAGAGCATTTCTCCGGGCTCAGACCAGTAGTGGTTTGAAAAGATTTGGCAAGGGATGGGGGAAGTGCTTTGGGCTGTGCAGCTAGAACAGAATTGGGATACAGATTCACTGTCTGCAAATCTCTGAGCACGTATGGTTGGGGGCTCCCCAGGAAAGAGTTAGGACCCATGTGGAGAGTCTAAGGGGGCCCGTTTCAGCTTCCTCTAAGGAATGGAATTTACTTTCTTTTAGTCTTCTCCAACTTTTAAACTTTCATTTTGAAATAATTCCAAATTCATAGGTTGTTGCAAAGGTAGTACAGAGAAGCCTTGTGTACCTTCCACCTAGTTTGCCCTACAGGTTAGATCTTACATACATACAGCGCAGTATCAAAACCAGAATTGACAGGGGCGTCTGGGTGGCTCAGTTGGTTAAGCATCCAACCCTTGGTTTCGGCTCAGGTCACGATCTCACAGTTTGTAAGTTTGAGCCCTGCAACAGGCTCTGTGCTGACAGCTCAGAGCCTGGAGCCTGCTTCGGATTCTGTGCCTCCCCCTCCCGTTGTGTCCCTCCCCTGCTTATGCTCGCTCGTTCACTCTTTCATAAGTAAGTAAATGAACATTAAGAAAAAAAAAAAAGTCCAGGGTATCCATTGTGTTCTTGTATGGATTGTGCTCTTGCTGTCATGACTGAGATTCTTTGGCTAGTCCTAGATCCCAAAGATTTCCGCCTTGGTTTTTGTTTTTTTTTTTTTTTCCGAAAAGTTTTATAATTTTACATTGAAGTCCATGATTCTTGTCAAGCTAATTTTTGCATAAGGTGTGAGATTTAGCTCAAAGGTCTTTTTTTTTTTCCTTACGGATATCCAATTCCTCCAGCACTGTTTGTTGAAAAGACTGTGTTTTCTCCATGGAATTGCTTTTGTCAAAAGTCAGTTGGCCATAGTTGGCTGAGGCTATTTCTGGATCCTCTATGAGATCATGACCTGAGCCGAAGTCAGACACTCAACCAACTGAGCCACCCAGGTGCCGCCGTGGTCAGCATTTTAAAGCTGAAACGGTTGATTGGTTGATTGGTTGATCTGTATAAAAATTTAGATGTAAAAAAGTATGAAGATGTGGCCGTCCTATGCCTGCACTCCTACATGGGAGCTGTCAGAGCTGATTAGGTGCTCCCACTGGAAGGACACCTGTCTCCAAGTCTCCCAGCCCCCACCTGAGCACCTCCCTCACTGTGTTACCAGTCTGGCTCCTGGGGGCATTTATATTTCCATTGCTGGTCAAGAAACAGAGGTTTAGGGGCTCCTGCATGGCTCAGTTAAGGTTCTGACTTCCTGCTCAGGCCATGATCTCGCGGTTCCTGGGTTCAAGCCCCACATCAGGCTCCGTGCTGACAGCTCAGAGCCTGGAGCCTGCTTTGAATTCTGTCTCTGTCTCTGTCTGTCTCTCTCTCTCTCTGCACCTCCCCGCTCACGCTCTGTCTCTGTCTCTCTCTCTCTCTCAAATAAATAGACATAAAAAAAACCCAGAGGTTTAAAATTCAGCCATACTTAACTAGGTGATGGGGGATTAAGAATATGCCTGTACTGATGAGCACTGAGTAATGTATAGAATTGTTGAATCACTGTATTGTACCTGAAACTAACTTAACACTGTACATTAATTTTACTGGAATTTTTAAAGATTCAGCCACACTTCAAGCCAACTACTGTTCACATTTTGATATTTTTTTCTCTGTACATGTATACGCATTGATATAGTTTGAGACATATCCTCTACACAATGCTAATATCATATACCCACTTTGGAGCTAAGGCACGTTGGCTCGTTTCCTTGTGTAGTTTGCTATTTGTATCTTCACCTTGCTGCCCTCAGTAGGTGTTTTGCATGGTGTCCTGTACCCCTGGGTTGTGGGAGCTCGCCTTCAGAGCCCTGAGGCCAGAGCATCTGCAATGTACTCTTATTAGTTTCAGTAGTTACAGACCTGTTTTTATATATGAATTTTGCAGTTTTGAGGGTGTATGAACTAGGACTTGAATTCTTCTCAATACAAGCCTGTTGTTTGGTTTATGTGTTTTGCCGATGACTCTCTTTTTCACCCATGACCCTTGATGGATGAGAAGATTCCTTGCCCCTTCCTCAGGCCAATGGGTGGAGTTTTCCCAGTGCCTCATTCCTGGATGGAGGGGCTGTCTGTGCACCTGACTTGGTGCAGGTGACAGGTGCCCAGAGCATCCTCTGAGACGACCAGGCCCCCAGTGTGGTGTGGCTGTCATACGCTCCTCTGCCCTTCCTGGGGTCACTCAGCTCAGCTTCTGCGCAGCTCTTACAGCAGGTTCCCTCTTTGTTTCGGGCAACTAGGGGTTTCTGTTGTTTGTTGTTTGTTTGTAGGTCTGGATTTGGTTTTTGAGCTTGGTCGTGGAATTTTAAAATGTGCTCATTTTATCAGCATTTCTATGTCTTTGAACTAGGAAGGGGGATTTTCCACATCAGCTCCTTCTCTCTTATTGACCAAAACTATATGTCGTTTTACATACGGGGTTTTTGTTTTTGCTTAAGATCATAACACTTCCCTGTGTCATTAAAAGTTCTTTATCAATGTCAGTATCAGAGGCTGTATATTCCATTATATGGATCTACCATGATTAAGCCATTTCCCCAGTGTTGAACATTTAGATCATTTCCAGTTTTCCATTAATGTAAAATAACACTGCAGTGAACATTTTTTACTTATTCTCTTCAGACGCATTCCTGGAAATGATTCGTCTGGCTCAGTAGGCACAAATGTTTATAAGGACTCTCAGGCATTCTGCTGAACTGTGGCTAGTGTGGTGTGTGGAAGAAAGCTCAAGGGAAACCATGCCGCTCTGTACTTGCTTTCCTAGAAGAATTACTAGGGAAAAGGTCATTCACCTGAAAGTTAATCCATAAAACACCTTTGTCAACAAACTAAAAACAGTAAAGTTAATACACGGTCCAAAGCCCATTGTCTACAAACCAATGATCACGCCCAACTAACCCCTTCTTCCCAGAGAACAATCAAGAGGACCTTCCTCATTAATCCTCAACCAACACCCATTAAATGATTTTCTCTGACATCCTTGTTGGTAGGCTGTTTGCTTCCCCTTTGTGGCTCCTCAGAGGGCCAGTACCTGCAGGTGGACGGAAAACTCAACACTTACCTGCTACCCTAACTCAACAGGGATGGGAGTGCTTATGTTCTTTCTGAATCTTCCCACTTTATTCCAGGGAACTTTTGATACCGTTATAAGGAGGGGGGAGCATATAAATATACATACTATATAGATAAATATGTAGTTAAGTTTGATTACTGTCTGTCACGTCCAGACCTAGGTAGGAAGTTAGGATGGGCACAGACTTCCAGAGCTGAAAGGCCCTTGGAGATGGGGCCGCCCAGGAAGAGAAGTGACTTACCACCAGTCACACAGGAAGGCCGAGGTGGACCTGGGGCCACAGCTGTATCCATCAAGGCCCATCCAGGAAGACAGAAGCCACTGCGAGGGGATGAATGCAGGGAATGGAGGCCAGCGTGGGAAAGGTGGAGAAACCAGCCAGGGGGCAGCGAGGC